TGACAAAAAAAGTAGAAACTTAAATTTGGACGATTACGAAGCTTCCATTCGGAAGCAAAAACTCAAAATTTTATCCAAGCATTTAAAAATGCCATAATTTTTACATTTTTAAACCAATCGTCATTCCATCCAGCACTCACATCCAACACCCCTCAATCCACCCCAAACCGTCAAATGATCCACTGAAAAATCATCGCACGATGAACTCGAACCCAATCCAAACCATCTCTAAAAACTATAGAAAGAATACAACTTGTGAGCAGTTTGTATAAAATGTCTAAATTTAAGAGGTAGGGGCTTCCGCCGGCGGCTCCTCTCTTTTCTCGAATCGAAGTGGATTCAGTGATATACAACAAACGCCTTGGGCGGTCCCAACGTATACGAAAAGAGTGTGCTAAAAAATACTCACGACGTTTATAATTCCCCCTCTCGTAGACCGAGGGTATAAATAATTGTAAACACATTAATGTTGTCGAGCGACAGAGTCTATCCATTCCTCCAACAGAGTTAATTTACAGAGTTCTGAAATTTAGGGATTTTTACTGAAATTTCAGCCGAAGAAATTCAGTATTTGAAATTTTTGCGGGTAAAAGCCACTTTCATACCAGAACTTCATTTATTTTCACAGAAAATTTTCACTCAAGGTTGCCGTGCAACTAAATGAAAATAACCGAAAATTCTCTGTTGTAATACCCCAAGACCTTTAAAATTATCGGATATTTCACGATAGCTTCATTGCGTGACAATGAGAAGGATGAGTTTTGCAGGATCAAAATTGCAGGATCACGAACGCGAAGCGTGAGTGATTTTTCTGCAAAACTCATCCCGATCACCGATACGCATCAATTTAAAAAATTGAGGAGTATTCGGAAAAAAATTTCCTTCCTCCTGGGTTCGACCAATCAGAGTGCAGTGGTGGAGGTCCCACGGCCCCTTTCATGATCATTTCACAGAAGTAAAAAAAAATGGTGAATCTTGTTATCAATTTCTCGAAAAGAATTCTGGCCAAATCGACACATTTTGAATGACTCTTTATCTCGAGTCAAATCAACACAACCTCACACAAGCTTTTCTCACAAATTGAAATGTCAAAATCAGAGAGAACAATTGACAGGCAACTGTGGAACTAGAACCATGTCGATAATTCACTAGTAGCCTGGTGACTTATCGAAATAAACCCGACGTGAACGTGTCACGTGCCCTCGAAGACTGCGCTAATTGGGCGAACCGAGGAGAGAGGAAATTCAGTGTGAAACATGTCACGTGACCCGCAATACTGCACTCTGGTTGGCCAAAATCAGAATTGAGGCAATAATCGAAATAATTCTACCTCCACTTCTCCGTCAAATGTTATCTATTTCGTTATCTATTAATTAGGTATTTTCGAGTGGTATTCGGAAGAGAATTTTTCCAGCCAAATTTCGGTTACGAAGATTGCACACTGTTGTAAATTTTTTGAAATTTCATGGAAGATATTATAGTAAATCTCATGAGAGTGGTTAGGAAATTTGGTTATGAAATTTCAAGTTGTCAGCAGAATTTACGACAATTCATGAATTTTCAGTGGGAATGAGATGGAAATTTCACAACTTGTTTGAATTTTCAATGGAACGTGAATATTCAGAAACAAAATGACACGAATTTTCCATTTTTCCCTGAATTTTCCGGATGTTTCTAAATTTTCACAGAATAAATGAACTGAAAAATCAAGTATTTTATTGATTTCTAGATCATTTGAACAGAAAATCAACGGAATATTTGATTTTTCAATGGCAAGATTTCCTGAAATTTCAGTGGAACTTGAACACACAAAAATTTCTGGAATTTGATGCGGAAAATTCAGATAAAAAGTTCTAACAGTGTACTAGAGACACAATCCATCTGTCAGTTCCGACAAGGGACTCACTCTACCATGAAATCTTTTATTTTTCATATATATATATATATATATATATATATATATATATATATATAAGCATGAAAAACTACCAGTGGAATTATCCAAAATTATCAGTTGAATACGGTGTTAACGATATAAAATAACAGTCGAATAGTGCAATTCTATTGGCTAAAATTTAGATGAGAAAAATTCTCCACAGAATGACTCCTGGGAGAAAAAAAATTACCGCCCTCCGTTAAAAATTATCAATAAAAACCGTGTTACTGTTGCCGAGGGCAGACTAACGTGAGATCACTCGAGGATAAATTCCGGGAATAAAATCGCCAGAGCAATTGACCCGATGAATTCAATCGATTGCTGCGGTAGGCAGGACCACCCGAAAACCATTGAGCCAGTAAAAAGTCATCAATTTTTCAATCAAGCGAATCATCGCTGCTATTGCACCATTAAGACACTAAACATCTCCCCGACACTCAATAGTCTCAAAAAGTGCACAAGATCGACGAATTGATCATGAATTTTCTGTCGCAAAGGGGATGCAGGGGAAACAGTTCAAATTGGAATTAAATATTTGGTTAATTTTCAGTTACGGTTGTACCTATGAGGCTTTATCAGCACGGAGAGAACAGTCGAGTAAAAATAACCCTAAAGAATGTAAAAATTACTCTTTAAAACATTCAATTGCAAAGAAATTTCCGGAAAATTCAAGGGAATTCCGTAGCGCATATTAATTTTCACTTGAAAATTCATGTAATTGTGGAATTTCCGACTTGCGGCTGATAAAAAATAAACTACTACTAGGGACTACTTGAATTTTCGGAGAAACATAAAATTGCATTTTCCCTTTAAATCGAATTCAGAGCCTTTTTCCGGGAAATTCAGCCAAATTTTGGTAACAGTGTAAAGTTTCCTCTCCTAATCCTCAAAATTTATTGACTCCAAGCGTAAGCCTTTTGAAGCAGTACTCGATACACTGATAAACCGATTCATTTATTCCAAACGAGATTCGTTAACTATTAACGAATGGTCGAGTTGAATATGACCAAATGAATATTCGTTAATAGTTAACGAATGGTTCACTTGAAAAGTGAAAATCGATTCAAACAAGGCCCCTCAAGTGTGCATTTGTTAACTATTAACGAATGCACTAACTATTAACGAATGAGTTAACTATTAACGAATGGGACCGAATAGACCCTAGTCTCCAACCAAATCCATTCGCTAACAATAACTAATCCTTTCCATCAGTGTATCTAAAAAATCTCCCAAAAATTACTCAAATCTAAATCTCCCAATGTCCAGAGTTAACTTCACCACGTAAACTCTCAAGTTCATTGTACATCGTAAATTCCCTGTAGAAAACCTGTAAGCTGCCCCAGGCACTCCGACGTGCCGAAAAACCCGAAAAGTGATGTTTCCCCACCGCTACCATTTAATTCCTCAGCGCTACCCACATTTCCTCGACAATTTCGCCGATCCCTTTTGCTCCCTGCATTACCCAGAGCAACGCTAGGTGGGAAAAATTTCATACGAGACGTCTGGTGTAACGTCTACACCCGAGGACATGAGACGTCCGTTCATTTTGAGTGGAGAAGTCGTGTGTTATAGCCCCGCGAAAAAATACACTTGGCAGCCGGCATAGCGCAGACATGGGGATAAATAATAGCATTGAGTACGTGGGCGCGGCTCGAAAGTGTCTGCGAACGATATTCACGACTATTTCGTTAGCGACAAGCGAGCTGCGTCAACTGTCTCACGCTTGGTGGGCCGCTTGTTGCAGTTTAAAAATTGCCTCGAAAGATCCCCCCCTCCGCGGTCGCCACTCGTCTCATCGGATGTATCAAGACATTAAGGTACTTTCTCAGTCAGTCATAGGGGAACGGTCGACAATGTCCAAAAAATGTGAAATTTTGAGGAAAAATTCTTGGAATGGCCAGAAATATGTCACAAGGAGTCCGAGCACAATTGACTGCTCAGTTTTTTGTAAAAAAATGATTGAAAATAGCATTTGTACGGCGTGTTGTGAGTCACTTTGCAACTGTTCAGTAGGAGCATCGACAATATACAAGCAATGCAAATACCCGATTTCCACCATCGAACACAATTCAAGAATATATCTCTGCAATTTCATAATTTATTACTGCACAGATTTTGAGAAATCATTGAAAATGTATCACAGGATCATGAATTTTCGTTAAACTATGGAAAAATGGCGGCTAACCCTACAGGGTTAGCTCAACTGTAAATGGAAGCAAAGCTACTATAGCATAGTATAGGTTTATATCAAAGGACAGTAGCACCAACTTCGTCTAACGAAAATGCCTTGTTGCCTGATCTCAGCCGGTAGTTTCAATTTCTTAATAAAATCATTGAAAAAAATTTGAGGATAAAAAAAATTATCTGTTGAATAATAATGACTCATAAATAAAAAGGAATCTGATCAGCAAAATTTTCATTCACTCTTGAATCATTTGTATAGCATCTTATGAGACTCACTTTTCAACTGTTCAGTTTAAGCATCGACAATAGACAAGCAATGCGAATACCCGATTTCCACCATCGAACACAATTCAAGAATATATCTCTGCAATTTCATAATTTATTACTGCACAGATTTTGAGAAATCATTGAAAATGTACCACAGGATCATGAATTTTCGTTAAACTACGGAAAAATGGCGGTGCAACATGGTAACGGTGAGAGAAGGTTAGAACCTACAGGGTTAGCTCAACTGTAAATGGAAGCAAAGCTACTATAGCATAGTATAGCTTCATATCAAAGGACAGGAACACCAACTTCGTCTAACGAAAATGCCTTGTTGCCTGATCTCCGACGATAGTTTCAATTTCTCAATAAAATCATAAAAACAACTGAGGAAAAAAAATCGTCGGTTGAATAATAACGACTCATAAATAAAAAGTAATCCGATAAGCAAAATTTCCCTTCACTCTTGAATCTTCAAAGTTTCCATATTTTCTCCAACGATGCACCTTTGATGTTTGCCCCCTCTCCACACCCCACAGTTATCCCTAGGAAGTACCTTAACTCTCCCCTGACCCTGCGCTACCCGCTAGAGTGAGAAACAAAAGTGATGAATTACCTGGTGAGAACGCAAGTGCAATAAATACAGCGGCGGTTGCAAACAATAGAAATAGGTGACTCCTCGATCTCTCAGATCTCCTGTCACGTCGTATATTTTTTTGGCAGCACCCACCACTGCCCCGATACACCCCAGTCTCGTTCCACTGGTCCACCTCATTCGCACCAGTACGACACGATGATTTAATATCCACCACTCGTTCACCATCTAGTCGTAATTTATCAATCGTTGCTTTCAATAATTCATCATTGTAATCGCGCTGTATTGAGTATTTATCATCACTAGTGCACGTTATAATGGGATATTTACGACGCTGATGGGTGCGTGCCCTTTGGATTGGAGGGCCGATCATGGCCTGGACCGGTCCCAGCCGGTACTGGTCTCGTCAGCGTTTCCGGTATACGCCGGCTTCTTCCTTGCCTACTGACTGATCAAATGATCTTCGAGGCATCACCACAACCCGATGGCACCACAGAAACACTGACAGACACACCGGATAACACAAGACTGGTGCGTCCAGGTGTTAAATCTATTAACCGTTGTTACTTTGATAATCAGCAACTAGTCTCCCGCACTTTATCGATTCATCCACTAGTTTCAATTTATCACTGCACAATTTTTATTTCCTAAGCCGTTGTCTCGGAGAAAGGGGATTGCGGCTGGGATGATTGACGTGCGATTCAAGGAGACCCCTATACAGTGGGGGGGTGAGATACCGCGACCGAGCGAAACCCTCTAACGGGGCCACCAACCACAAAAAAAAACGTATCGCTCTAGTAAACCAATCGTCCCCCTTTCACCCCTCTGTTTCCTCGTTGAACATCAATGCTAATTCTACAATGTCAGTGACTATTTTATTGTCAATTATTCACAAAATCCAGTAATCAGCATTCAAATCATCACCTGAAGTCACCTGCTCTGCTCTGTTCATTCGCCAGGGCAGTCTATTCACCACTAATACGATAACCCCTTCCACAATCAGATCTGTCCCACGCGGTCCTAGGGTTTTCAAATACTCCCACCCACCCCCTCGTCACCAGCAGCACACGCCTGTCAATTCAATGCTGCTGTATAATTGACAACTAAAAGTGAAACATCAAAACCACGTGAGGCTGATAACTCCGAGGGCCCGATTGAATTTAACGGGGATCCAATCAGCAATGAAGAGGCATTTAAAAAAAATACAGAACCGTAGAACTTCCGCGTTGTGGGTACGGGTCGCCGGTGGCACTGCACTCGCAGATAGGGTTGTACCGTTGTTAATTCGAAAATAAAAAAATAACACAAATGACGAATTTATTTACCAGGCTGGCATAAACAAATGTCTCGTTTGCTAATTGTCCACTGTCTGTTCGAGCAGTGTGAATAAATAAATTTATTACGATAAAAATGACAGTACGGTCCGATAATGTACCGGTGTCTCGAACTTAACGTGACACAATACCGGCATTGGCTAATAGCACGGCGGGGAGCTCGTTGAAGACTGCCACGGCGCTCTGACTACTGAGCGCCGAGGGCTCGCCAGGCAGCACGGCGGTAACGCGTACAACACACGGGCGCCGGCCGACAGCGACAGCGGGCCAACCCGATAGTAGTGGAGGGCTCACTTTGCCCCGCACGCGCGTCGCGTGGTAGCCCAACCAGCGAGACAGACAGAGATGGAATTTCCATTGGTATCAGTGATGCAGAAGGAGACGAGGAAGACGATGAAATTGTAGGTACAGTATTTTTTTTTCTCTCTCGCTCTCACTCGCTCTCTCTCTCTCTCTCTCATTCGCGCATTCGGCTTCTCTCGCTCACTTCCCCTCTTATTTTTGTGCATCGGTGGTGAAGTCGCGGGGGGGCTATCGTTAGCCTGGGTGGAACGGTGTTGTTCGCTGGTGGTTGGGTGGTTGTGTGGTACTGCGGCGATGCTAAAGCACACATCGAAAAAGAGGGGGGGGGAGTGCGGCAGCAGCGCCAGCAAACGGCCGACGCCGGCTCAACCGTACCGACACCCCCCCGGTATTCCCGCCCGCCCCCAATACTACCCCCCTATTCGCCCCACCACCGTGAAGCCATCGTCCTGTGTGCGAAATCGATGCCCCGTGTCTGAAGCTCTTTTGCGACCTGCCGGGGGTTACCCGCTCGCTCCAACGCTCGGGCGATTGCCGATCTCTCTCGGGGCTTTTTCGTAAGCCTTTTCGGTAGTCTTGGGGGGGAGCGGGGTGCAAGCTCTTTGGTTTGAGAGAAGGTAAGGGGGTTTTCGGGTTTTTGAGGAGCTTCGGAGAGAATAAATTTTGATTTGTTTCTCTACGTACTTTAAGATGGATATGGAATTGATCCTGTGATATTACTATGTATATGACTGGCTAGTCCTGCAGTTCAAATGTGATTACTTATGTAAAGGATGAACAATGTATTCTGGTAATATCAATATATCAATATGTAATATGTATTATGACATGGAATGTTCAAATATTTTGTAAAACTTGAGGTAACCAATATGGCTCTACTATCAACATTTATAGATCTTAAGGATATTCTACACCCTTTCTGCCAAAATTCACGTTTTTTTAATTTTTCTGGCAAACTTATGATGGAATTGACGTGAAAAAATATAACGTTTTTGCGTTTTGTCATTATTTAATGACTGACGAAATTTTAAGGTGGTGCGAACATTTTCCTGCGTTTTCTCTAAACTTTTAAAAAGAATCACAAAACTGTAGAAAAAACGCATGAAAATTATCGCACCACTACGCAACTTCGTGAGCCATTAAAAAATGACAAACCACAAAATCGTTATATTTTTTCACGTCACTCCCATCGATAATTTGCCAGAAAAATGAAAACAACGTCAATTTTGGCTAAAAGGGTGTCGAACATCCTTAAGGGGTTGGGGAACAAAAAATGTAAACACCCGAGAGGGTATACAAAAGACGGATAAACTAAACTTTTGATTTGTGTGGGAAGTTGGTACTCATTTTCAGAGACACTGATTTTAAGGAATCTATCAGTCAGACTGGAGACTAATTAGGGATTTCAGTCAAAACTAGTGGAGAAAGTGGGAAATTGCAATCTTGTATTGCCGATAGTGTTTGTTATTTTTGCTAATTAGCAAGTTGCTTCTGAATGGTTATTTTCCAAATCATTTCCTTCTATCATGTATAATTAATTGTTTATTTAATTTTGTTGGATTGAATAAGATTTCTTTTTAACTAACTTTGCCAGATTTTCAACTGAGCTGAATGTTAGCATCATCATTATTCTTATTATCCCTTTCTTCTGTACAACCGATTGTCTTTTTTACGGTTCTATCTCTCCCCTCAGCCCTTTGATAACATGTTAATAGAAAAATTTCATTTATATATACTTGGATGAATTTGGAACATCACATTTGAAGAAATCACAAAGCTCATTTTCAGAGAAATTCATGAAAAATTCAAAATTTAAAAAAATCATCATCAAAATTAAATCAACCTATATAGCTATCGTAATCATCTTTTAACTTCGACTTAATGGCGTGGAAACAAACATTTTAAGCTATGATTGAATTCATTTGAAGCATGATATTCAAAGATATCCCGGGAATTCTGATTTTCAAAAAATACAGAATTTTTGCAATTCAAATGAATCAAAATAACGATTATGGCCATCGCCATCATTCAATCAATTCAGAATATTTATTTTAATTATCGTGAAAAAAATTTTTGTTTCAATTTGAAAAGTTTTAAAAATTAATAAATGAATTAAATTTTAATTAATGGGGATTCATCATAGGGCTCAACAATACCTATATTTGAGGAGAAAAAGATTCAATTGCATCGGTTCATTAGCGAACAATCGAAAAAAAATTTGTTTACATACTTATGCATATACATACATAGGTACGGAGACAGTTTAAAAAGGGCATTTTTTGACTTTTTGGATCATAATGCGTCGATGTAACACAAAAAATCCAAAATTTCAATTTGAACGTTTACAATGCTCTATTTGGAAGTAAAAAGTACGGGAAATCGAGGTTGTTCCACGGTTACTTGACTTGTTTGGTAATTTTTCTCCAACTTTTTTCTCGGTATGACAAGTTTTTACTAATTTTCAGAGACATTTCACTGATTACAGTCTTCACACCGAACTGTCGGTCTGCGGGACCGCTATCGAAACTTTCACACTGTATAACTATTGATAAATGTAAGAAAAAAAATTTCAAATTTTCAGTAACTTCCTATTTCATCGATACAAAACGTTTTTAATTTTTTTTCGCCCCGACAAATCTATGAAACCACGAACGTTTCTTCTGATTTATTCCCTGAGGGAATTCCCTGATTACCCAAAGGACATATACATGTTTTACCGGAAAAATTCCCACTACGGAAATCATCATGTTTTGGTGGAAACTTTCTTTAGTGTCTACAACTAAATTGATTCAAAGCAACAAAAGATCTCTTGCGGAGATTATAATTTTTCGGCAGAACTAATTTTTTCTCTGGGTGCGGGTCAATTTTTCTCTCGATGGAGTAGGTGGAGTTCTTCGGACCGAGAGAAGACTTCATTTTTTGAAGATAAATGTGGTTGCATAGTCCGGTAATGTTGGGTTCAACCGAGTGTGACATCGTGACTCCTTCGCACTCGAGTAGAAAGGAAATTTTTTTGTAATACCGTTTGTTAAAGGTGGTGCGGATAGTGGACACGAGGCGGTAGGAAGCATCTGGAGGTGACTGGGTGGTCATACTGCCAGGTGGTTGCAACTTGTTGTGGCAGGGGCCCTGTGAGCGCGCGGGCCCTTCCGGACTGCTCGTTTCAATGCCCCCGGTGGCTATGCGAATAGAGAGAATATGATGATTCAATTCAATCATCAATTGGTTCGGTGGAGGTACTGCACGAAGGAAATTGAGGAAACATTACTGAAGAATTCAAGTACCTTCAGTGACCGAGTTTCGCAACCGCACTGTTAGAAAATTGCTGTTGAAATTTCGAGTGAAAAAGCTTGACATTTTTAACAACGGCAAAGCTACATGAAATTTCTGTCTGTTGAATATTCAAGTAATTTTCGATTTTCAGGTCCACATGGCACTGAAAAACCTTGAAAATTTTTAAAATTCAGGTAACAACTTTTCTGAATTTTCAATCTACTGAAACTTAAATTGTATGTGATGTTTAATTTTCACGATGAGGTTGGAAATTTAAGCTTTCATTGAAAAATCAATAATGGTTTAACATGAAAAATCAATGATTGTTTAACATAAGAGACAGGCAATCACCATAAAACCCAATTTTCTTAGATTGTCAAGATGACTAAAATTTAGTAAACGCTTTCATTTGAAATTGAATTCAACCTCACAATCTCGAAAATTCCGATAACGCTGTGACGGA